GCCGAGATACCAACTTCTACAACCCCCTTTCAAAATGTCTTCAGAAGGGCAGGTCCTTCAAAGCGGCAGTCTGGATATTATTTCTTGCTTAGTCCATAAACGTGCTTGGAAGACACTTCGGAACACTTAACTTACCCATTTTATATCATTGTTCGGTACGTCAGTTTGCCAGGATATTACCTCTATAATCATTCACTGTTCCTCCAGAATGAACACATGGACCTCACTTTATCATTAAGCATTTGGTTTGTGAAGCCACTTCAGATGTTCTCTCCTTTTGTAGTATGAATCAAACCCATTAATCTGATGGGATCATCGTGAATGGCTTCTACGTTTGCCATGTTTTCAGCAGCCAGCTGCTCGCTGTTGAGGTAGATGCTAACCTTGGAAGCCATCGTGGTGGGGTTAGATGATCTTTCTTCTTCATCTTCCTTTAATGAAGGGTCTGTCTTTCTCCTTGGTTTTCTGCGTTTTCCCTTGACACTGTGATCAAGTGAGGCATAACACATCTGATTGGCAGACTCCACCTAGAAGGAAATTCACTGCATATTTCACATTCATTGTTATGCTTGCTCTAAAAATATGTCTGAGACTTTGTGTATGTCTGCACTGTAATCATAGTAGCAGCTGAAGTTTACCCAAATTAGCTGTAAATAAACTCATTAAAAGTACAAATGATTAAGCTGTGGCAGTACAGAAAACAGACCAACATAACCTAATGGTAAATGACCCTCATTCTTAGGGGAAGAGCAATAAGGAAAAATTCATCAAAGTATTACTGGAAAGATTCTCTATGGGAATGAGGGTAGCTGGTAGAATCACTCCAAGTTCTTTGAGATGCAAGACATTATTTGTTCTATTTTTGATCCCAGGTTTTTTTTTTAATTAGAATCCAGTTAGTAGCAACAACATTTTTTACAGGCTTTGTGCAGAAAACTAAAGATGGGTGATTCTTGTCTGTATGTGTAATCTCATTTCCAGTGCAAAATGTATAGTTTCTATGTCTCTCTCCTGCCTCTCTGTGTTTTTCAAGCCAAATTGTCAAACACTTTTGACACTGGAATTTTCATTTATTGTTCTGTTTAAGAAATCAAGGACTGTTTCCAGTCTCCCATGTTCAGCTAAGGAGCAGGTGAGCAGGAGCTGGGAGGAAGCACAGCCAGGCAGGTAGCCCAAGCTGGTCAGTGGAAATATTCCATACTATGGACATCTGCTCAGTTTATGAATGGGGGTTGGCTGAGGGGGCAGGAGGCTGTCTGCTCTTCTCTTTTCCTCTGTTGTCTGGGAGTTCCAACTTCTTTTGAGGATTTAGTGAAATTTGTGATTTCTGCCAAGTATCTCAACAAAATACAAATCAATAGAAAAACAGTCGTCTGTCTTTTGTTAAGGCGTATGGATATTGTGTTGGGCAGGAGAGAGTCAGTCAAATTCATGATTATCATGTGATGCAGCTTGGCTTTTTTGCACTTGGTTGATGTCCAAAATAAGTAAAATTAATTATTTATGTAAGCCATAGCAGTAGACAACAGGCTTAATTCAGCCTGATCTGCATGTCTGTTACAGAGCCTTGTCATACCATGTGGATGGCAATGAGCTGTCTATAATTCTCCGGCTCCCTCATTAATCACTCAGAACGAAGGGTCAAGTCTGTGCTTAAAATCCCTGATGAATTGAGACACTAACATATGGTAATTTTCGTGATGCACAGTGTGAAGGTTTTTGTTATATGTTGTCATGGCATAAACACAAGAACTCTGAGCCCATGTTGCTGTAATTCAGAAATCCAAAATTAAAATTTAAAATACCTGTAATTGGTTAACTGGCCTTTGAGGCTGGGACTTCATCTGCTCGTAACAACATTCCTCTATAATTTATCAAAGTAGAAAAATATTTTAGTTAAGACACTACTGAGTCTTAAAAGATCAGATCAACAGATTCTCCCTGTTACAGAACTAACTCCCCCCAGTTTACTTTGGTAGAAGTTTGTTTTGTTTGAAATGACACACAGATCTCTTCCTCTATAGAAGGGCAAATAGCTGAGAAATTCAGACACACATACTGTGAAAATGGAAATAATTTTCTGTTCATATGGATGGGCAGTTTCTCTTTATTCGCTAAGTGGGCATCCTTTTACACTGCTGGGAGGACATCTTGCAGTTAGGGGGTGACCACATGCTGATGTATTTTTCAGCATAGGCAATCTTTGCTTTGGCTGAGAAGAGGCTGTGAGTTGCAGCAGCTGGTGATTAAATTCTGTTCCTGACTCTCAGTTTTCTGTAAATTTAGTGCAAGTTATTTTCTCGTTTTAGCCATCAGTAGAACAGATTACTTCCTTACAGCTTTCAGGCTTTTGTCGTGTCAATGTATTTGAGTGTTGGCTTTGTTGAATTTATGCAAACCCTATATGAAAAAGTTGGGTTTCTTTTTTTTTTTCCCCTGCAGTTCAAGTACTTCAGTTTTGCTTAACCTCAAATAAAGACAGAAAAAAGCTGTGTTCATCAAATACTGCTTTAACCCTGCAAGGGCTTTGAGAGACATAGCCTCAGCATATCTAGCTCTAGCTGCAGTTATACGATGGTGCCTTTAGCGTGATATCTCTCTGCCAAGGACTAACTTCAGCCCAGTAAAGCAGAGAAGCAGCTATGTCTGTCCACCGTCCAGCCACTGGGCTTGTTTCAGCATATTTATCAATGTCGCTGATGATCTGTGGATAGCCCCAGCAGAGAGCCGGTGTGTGCTTGTTTCTGCCAGCTTCTGTAGGAGCGTTGGCTTTGGACAGTGAGTAAGATGTGTTTTAGATTGCTTTAACATGCACGGATCAAGCTGTTATTTCAACTGGTGCAGCTTTGCATGTAAAAAGCTCTTGTTTTTTGAGATATTTGGCTGAACAGGACTACTTGGACTGTAAAAAATCAAATTCAGCATGAGATCTGGTTTTACAAACAGTAGTGCAGTGTGATGGTTTGCAGTTCTACCCCAAGTAGGTATTAATACAGCAATTGAAAAGGGGTAGATTCTCAAATTTGCTATTTCAGAAACACAGAAAGTGTTGCTCAGGGAGCTTTTAACCATATATTTATTATAACCTCTGAACAGACATGTTCTTAAAGTGAAGCTTACCTAAAATATCTTGACTGAGATTGCCATAAACTGGGTCATCTTCTCTGCAATAGTCATCATAGCTACAAAGGGAATGGAAAAATACTTTTAGTTCACAGAATATGCTTTATTTAGGACACCACCGTTCTGCTCTAAGCACTTTACACACATAGAGCAATAGCAGCTTGAATGTGATTGAATGTGATCTAAAAAACAAGACCAGGGGAGTGCGGAAATATGAGTTCTGCAGAAGGGGAAGAAATGGCGACGTCCATATTCTGAAGAGAGACTTGTTATCTAGCCAAGAATTGAACGCTTCTTTACTGTAACTTAGTTCAGTATAAAGCTAATCTCAAGACTACGAAGCTACTGTTTGATATAGTTCTGGAAATGTCAATGACCGTTGAAGGGAACCCAGTTCGTGTCCTCTGAGACCACTTTGCAATACAAACTAAAGCACTAAGTGAGTCTTTTGGGGAGGTATTCTTAAAAAGTTTACTCAATTCAACTAAAATACTTATGTCGACACAACTGGAGAAGGCAAAAGCAAAGTTCAGCTTTGGATATTTAATGGTATTCTGTGTTTGGTTACTTGGTGTTGCTTAAAAATGTTTTCCAGCATGTTTGTAAAGATGGGAATTGTTAGTGGGAAGCACTGTGTAACCTTGTTCCTATTGCATCCCTATATTGCGCTTTGTCAGGGGAACGAAGCTGTGCAAGCTAACGCCACTTTTTCAGGGGTATTTTTTAACTGAACAGGCAGCAATAGACAAACAGAGACTTCCCAACTTCAAGTAAACTTGTAACTGAGGCTTGATTGGGGGGAACAGGTGAAGGCTTTTGTATTTTTTTTTCAAGAGCCTTTTATATTTGGATTGAGATGAGACTCTTTCCATCTCTGTTTTGGTCGGGGAGGCGGTTATATGGAAGAAGAGAAACAGACTTGTAACAGATCATGAGCTACCCAGCAGCTGTAAACAGGCTCTGTTTTATTGCTTTTGAACATCGTGTAAAAGAAGGGTATGAAATGTAAATACATGTAAATTATTGCTCCACAAACATTAAATATCAGACTACAATTTATCATTGTTTTCTGAGAGCTCATTTTAATTATAGGTTTATTGAGTTTGAGTGGTAGTAAACAGTGGTTTAGCTCAATATCTTGCACTTCCTTCAGTATATAAAATTATCATATTGGCATGCAATTATTTCATTGTTGATAAGAAGACTGGAGTACATCTCTGCCATCTGAATTATTTTTCCTGTTTTCTTGGAAAACTTTTTTTTCCATAACCAACCTGCTCTCCAGCATTTCCAGGCAGGCTGCGTGAGATATTGGTTTTCCTCTATGCCATCCCTCCAAAGCCATCTGTTATTATTTATTGCTTATTTCACTGTTGCCAGAAAGAACCTTTTTTTATCCAGCTTACCTTCGACTGTTGTCTTCATAGTCTCTATACATTTTAGCTGGAAAATTTAAAAAAAAAAAAAAAAAA